GCTAGGCCATAATCATCCATCTCCATCGATCATTCATTCATCACCTTGGCCATCTACCGTCACCTGGGATAGGACCCACAACTTGAATTTCTTTTAGTTTTGGCTTTACACCATTTATCTTCTTAAACAAAAACAAAACCGCCAGATGAGTTTTAGAAGCATCAGTTGCTGACCGAATTGCATTTCAATAAGCAAAAACCTATTAAAAAAATAACAAAAAAGAATATAAAGAAAAATAAAAATAAATAAATAAAACAAAATACAACAGCCTTGAGGAAACCAATAACCCAAGTTCCATTTACGTTCCATCTTCCTCAACACACCCATGCATGGAAGCATCAAATTTGCCTCTACTATATCATCAAATTTCTCCATTCCCTACATCAAATCGGCTCAGCACCATTATTTGGCAAAAGATTATATCGCAACATTGCTTAACTCTACAATTCGACATATCATTCGGCATATTATCAACTGCATATTAACATTACTCTGCATATTATCAACTCGGCTTTGGCAACATTATTCGGCTCAACATTGTTTTCTCGGCAAGACTACTCAGCCACACACGGCCATATGCTTCACAGCATTGAACATTCTCAGCACAAAACTACAATTATTAATTTATCTACCTCTTCGGCAAAAATCTCATGCTTATTATCTCAGCATAGAACTAGCATATCGGCTTGCTGAAATCAACATCTGAATATACGAGAGGATTTGCGTCAACTTAAAGAGTCCAAACCCACCAATCCAAGGAGTGAAGAAGTAACCGAAGTTTGCATCATTCAACAATTTTGGCTCCAGTCTATTCTGACTTCCTTCTGCATAACAACTTTTATTCAACAACAATGGGGCAAAGAATTCACATCAACAATTTGTTCTCAGCTTACTCATTGGCAATGTTGGCCAATGTCCAATTTGAATTCCTTCCACCTAACAACTGTCAGTCGAAAGCAATGGGGCAACTGTATAGGACAACACAACACCCACAACACCTTAAATAAATCTGCTTCCAAAATCTACTCGGCAAATCCTTACAACGGAGCAATGCTATTTTTTAATGCTTTACCATTGGTGTACTTTTTTTTCCCACTTTTCACTTATTTATGATTAACAATTCTACCTCATTTGGTATAGGCAATTAATGACACGGGATGCATTATTCAAAATCCTTGCCAGGTTGGCAATTGATCGCCACTTAAAATCAACAAATATTTTCGAATATGGCACAATCTTTGCACTCGGCACAGAGCGCCATCACCCTCATCCAGGGGTTATAATACCGCGACCTACACCCTCGCCTAGGGGTCATAATACCGTTGCCCATCATTATGATTTGTTTGGAACTCATGTGATATAATTTCGTACTATGATCGCCATCATTTATTTAACCTCTCTATACTATATTATTCACTGTGTTTTAGCTCACCCCTCTCCCTTATATATATATATATATATTTGTACATACATTCAAACATACATGTATTCATACAGTTATCTGTTCATTTATCAAGAGACCTAACATTTATTTGAACAGTGTAACTCGGCAGGAAAAACTCTTATTCCTTCTACTGCAGACAATGAAAGTTTTGGGGTAATTGTGGGAGTCAGAAAAAAATATATATATATCAGCTTATTGGGGCTACCCCTAACAAGGCCTACAATGGGTCCAACCTAAACAAATATCACACCCCCCATTTATATAAAGGGGGGGCATCCCAGAGAAGGTGAGAGGTCATCTCTCTCTACACTACACACCAACACTCTTCATTTTCCATACCTTCATTCTTTCAATCAAGTGACTAACCTCACCATCGGAGTGTCTCTGGCCGGCAATCCCTGTTGGGTGGCGCCGATCATGCTCATCTTTGCAAATCTATAAGAACAAAATTCATCTCTTCGTTGGATCTCTACAATCCATGTGAGAGGATTTTTCTAGTCTCACACATTCCAATCTGTCTGCAAACATGGATATCAATCCAATCTGTCTTTAAATCAGACCACCCCCTCCGTGCTGGTGAATTCATGGGTCTTAATTGGATATAATAAAATCATCATAGTCTCAAATGACTTTCAATCATATTCAGATGCCACCTCTAGCTTCTTATACATGCTTTCAATTCCTATTTCACATTAATCCAACAATGACTTGTTGAAGTTAAGATTTACCCTATTTTGAAGAAAGTATGTTCTTAATCATCCAAGAGACTCTAGACTCTTCACATAACCTGACTAAGGCTAATCACAACTCAAGTGATAAAAGTGGAAACCTCTTGAAGAGGAAGGTTGCTGCTAGAAAAAGTTGGGCGGGTTAATATATTTGTCTCCCAATAAACAAAATAATACTAACACAGTGGGTGAGGCAAGTCATGCATTATCACAGGATGAATCACTAGGAGGATTCTCATCAGGTGTTTACCACCAATTAGTCTTCCACAGAACATCCTATTTGCAAGTCATGGGTATTCAAAGGTTTAACCTTTATAAATGCAATTGACAAGATCAACCTCAAATAGTGGGCATCAAACAACTATTTCATCAAATTGATTTCATTAAAAAATTCCTGCATTCTGTTCATTATTAGTAGTTTGAAACATTTCATCAAATAAGTAGTGGGCATCAAAAAAATAAAAAAGAATACACATGCAGATAACAACCCAGAAATCATATACAACAAAAAAACAAACAAGTCTCTCTTAATCATACACCCCAGATAGTAGAAAAATTAAAAGAGCAAGAAATCAAACAGTAACAAATACAACCAATACAAAAGAAGAACGAAGAAAGAGAGAATCGAAGGAGGACTTATTGATAAAACGAATTCCCTCTCACTCTCTCAAACTGAAAAATTTAGAAAGAGACAGAAAAGGAATTTGTGATTAGGTCTAGAAAACAAAACACAGAACACAAGTTGATTAGAGAAGAAGATGAGGAAAAGAGAAGAAGAGAAAAGAAGAGAAAAATACCTTTGAATCGAGGCTTTGATCGCTGCTCCCTGCTACTATCGCCGATTGCTGATCGTCGTTCGCCGCCATTGTCGCTGATCGCTGATCGTCACTCACTGCCGTTCAAGTGAGAGAGAGAGAGTTGAGAGAGAGAAAGAGAGAGTCGTTGAAAGAAGAACTTAGGGCTACAAAAATGTGAAATGAAAAAATGAAGGCGAGACAAAGGTAAAAATGAGGAAAATAGGTGGGGCGGGCGGGTCGACTACGCGAACGGAAGTGATGGATTACCCGCAACTCGACTCGAATCCGTGAAATTGAAAATTCTTTACCTATATCCGTCCGCCTCGTGTCACACATCCACCCAAAATAGTGCGGGTTGGGTCTGCCGCGTCGGAGCATCCGCTGCTCAATTCTAACTCTAGGTAGGTGGCTTCTAGAGACTATTAATTAAAAACAACATCCCTAAACCAGTTTTGCTTGTAATTACAAGGTTTTTTTAAAATTTTAGGAGTGTGAACAAAAACACAAATTTTTTAAAAAGTTCAAGTTAACTGAGTTTAATTAAAAAATGAATGTCAAAAAAATGTAACTTTTTTTTTATCGGCGAAAAAAAAAGAACTTCATTAATGAGAACAACATTTAATACATATAAAACTATATCAATAAAGAATAGGTTAGAGTAAGAAACATGTTATTATCATTTAATTGGTCTAAAACTATGAGTTCAAAAAAAATATATTATCATTTAAAATTATAAATTTTCATTATTTTGAATCAATTAAAACTTGTTGAGAAATGCATTGGTTCAAAAGAGACTTCAATGCAAGGGTATGTAATTGGACCAATGAGAAGCTTCCATTTCCGTACGTCAAACATGAAGGCTGTAAAAGGTCTTCATATAGACCAATAAAAACTCAATATAATATTATATTATTATTTAATTATAAATTATCATATAAGATTGATAAACCCAATAATTAAATATAACTATCATTCAACACAATTTAATTATTAGCCCATTTACATGATAAGAAGATTTATCGTGAATATAATTCTCCTTACTTTCATCCTGTAATGGTAATTTGTAATACAGATTTAAAATATCTTATTGTGATAATTCAATGATTTAAATTTAAAATTAAAACAAAATTATGATGTTTTTGAGTGTTTAATTTTGAAACATTTGATATTATTTTGCCATAATTTTAAACATACATAGTTAGATCACGTGTTTTAGTTGTAATAAAAACTAGAGTAAAAGTGATGACAAGCATTTACTATACCTATATGATGGTTTATAATTGGATGTAGATTTTTATTTTTTTTGGCTCCATTACACAATACATATTAATACGTTAGTAAAATTAGATTATCATTACAGTAGGCTTATCATAAAATCTCACCTTACTAGCACTAGTGTCCCTCATAACCTCTTGAATTACAATTTTTTGGATAGTGCATAAAAGGATTTTACCATATTTTTTAATATTAAACACAAATGCAATAAATTCCATGTTATATGTCGGATGCATGTTCATAGTAATTTTTTTTTTCTTTTTTAAATTCAAAAATTAATACATTATTATTGTCAAATTATTACAATCGATCATGTCTTCCGTGTTTGATAATACAAAATCCATTCATATATGATATTTTCATATCTTTTTTCTCCCCGTGTTCCTACAACCTTTTACCTAGTAAACTAACACTTTTTTATTATTAAACACAAATGCAATAAATTGCATATTATATGTCCGGTGCATGTTCATAATAATTTTTTTTCCTTATTTTAAAATTAAAAAATTAATACATTATTATTGTCAAATTATTACAACCGATCATGTCTTCCGTGTTTGATAATTCAAAATCCATTCATATACACCATTCAATGCATACACTCTCTATTATCTATTAGAAAACACTATATATACACACCACATGACAAACCCTAAAATCTATCTCAAAAACCCATCTCCATTTTTTCCTACCTTACACACCATCTTCATACTACAAACCATAATCTCAACATCTCATCCTCTCAAACAACAAACAATGACCGAGAAAGGTGCAACTTCTTTCACTCCTGTTGAGCCTTCCATGGCACAATCTGACGTGCTTCAAAGGAAGATGAGACTCATGCGCTTTGCGTTCATCATGATCTTCGCTCTATTTGCACTAATCGTCACAATCTTGGTGTTTGCACTAGTCGCAATACGTGTTAAAACGCCACGAGTTGAAATTAGGTCGGTCAACGTTGAAGGACTCTATGTTGGCAATTCAACCTATAACATGACACTCATTGCACAAATTGAAATGAAGAACAAGAATTTTGGGGACTACAAGTATGATAGAACCACCATGAGTATTAGCCATGGAGGTGTGACCGTTGGGGATGGTGTGATTTGGAAGGGAAATGTGAAAGCTAGGGACACATATAGAATGACTGTTACAACGAAAGTGAGCTCGAGTGGCTTGTTGGATGCTTCGAGACTGAGTAGTGATATCGGTTCGGGGGTTTTGATGCTCAACAGTGAAGCTAGGTTGAAAGGGAAGGTCTATTTGATGAAGTTTTGGGGGATAGAGCTTCAATTTGTGAAGAAGAGAAAGAGTGCTGAGATGAATTGTATCATGGAACTTAATTTGACTAGTGGAGGGATTCAGAACATGGATTGTGATCATTAAGTATTTCTCTATTTGGATTTTGCAAAATCTCTAATCTGGCATTTTTCGTTGTTTGTCTTATAAGACGCTGAGACTTACATACATGTGGGTCTCATTACTTTGTGAGACGAACAATGAAAAATATAATTTTATTATTATTATTTTAGATAAAATAAATAGAGGTTGAGAAGTGTAACAGGTTGAGTTTGATTTGTTACATTGTGTGTTGTTTTGTGTTGAGTTGTAATAATAAAGTTGATGTTTTTTTTTTTTATTTATCAGAAATAAAGTTGATGTTGTTTGTTCTTTATAATGTCTGTATGGGGTTGAGTTGTGAAAAGTAAATTACACAACTATGTTAAAATAATACTCATTCATACATCTTTACGTACATCTATAGAAAAGAAGAGCAATGCTAAAAAAAATTGAAAAAACTAGTATAAAAAATTCTATGAAGAATGGGTGTGTGAGGCCCATAAATGACTGTGTGAGATCTACACGTGTGCCAAACGAATTTAGTCCAGTCGTCCTCTAGCTACTCTAGTCTCTTTCTCTTCTCACAATTCAATGAACATATACATTTTTTATGTTCCGTAAAATTTTAAGAAAATATTTTCTAATTCTTATAAATAAAAAATAAAAATTTGACAACTTTATCAAATCCTAAATTTCAAAATTCATATATACTATGTGCACAGCCGAGTCGCCCATTTTTTTTAATTAAAATTTGATTAGCTGATTTTAAGGTGTTTTTTTGTTGGGTTCTCCTATGGTGTGCACCCCTACCACAAAATGTATAATTTTATTATAAAATTTCGTAATATCAATTATCAAATACGTAACCTCGCCACGAATTAGCGTAATAAAAAATATCATAATCAAATCACAAACTTTTGCAACATCAAACACAAAATTATAGACATTTTATTGCTTCAATTTATGGTGAGATTACATATTTTGTGATTGATATTACGAAATTTTGTAATAAAGTTACACCACAGCATTTTTCTTTTTTGTTCGATGGAAGAAAAATATAATTTAATGATCATTTGGTAGAGGTTAAAGAACAATTTTATTGTAATTCAATGGTATAGGTTAAAGAAGAATGATTATTTGGTGTGCATTATATTATCTATATATATACATTTATTTATAATAAAAATGCAAAGATATGGAAATAGTAATAACAATTTAAACTAATATTTGTTACGATTTCGAATTTTATTTTCTGTTTTTGTTACATAATTTTTAATTTACGAATCTACGAAATTGAAAAATCTCGACCCATATCCACCCGCCTCATGTCACACATCCACCCAAAATAGTGCGGATCGGAGCATCCGCTGCTTTATTATAAAATTTCGTAATATCAATTATAAAATACGTAACCTCGCCACGAATTAGTGTAACAAAAAATATCATAATCAAATTACAAACTTTTGCAACATCAAACACAAAATTATGGACATTTTATTGATTCAATTTATGGTGAAATTACGTATTTTGTGATTGATATTACGAAATTTTATAATAAAGTTACACATTTTGAGGTAGGGCGCATATGGTATGCACACCACAACATTTTTCTTTTTTGTTTGATGGAAGAAAAATATAATTTAATGATCATTTGGTAGAGGTTAAAGAAGAATTTTATTTTAATTCAATGGTATAGGTTAAAGAAGAATGATTATTTGGTGTGCATTATATTATATACATTTATTTATAATAAAAATGCAAAGATATGGAAATAGTAATAACAATTTAAACTAATATTTGTTACGATTTCGAATTTTATTTTCTATTTTTGTTACATAATTTTTAATTTACGAATCTGCGAAATTGAAAAATCTCGACCTATATCCATCCGCCTCATGTCACACATCCACCCAAAATAGTGCGAATCGGAGCATAACTCTAGGTAGGTGGCTTCTAGAAATTGAAAAGTGACATAAAAAATAAATATTATCACACTCAATCAAATTAAGTGTGATTAAAATATCAATCTAATTTTTTTTATCACACTTCCAATAAAAGTGAGATCTTTTTTTTTGTCAAAGTGTGATCTTTAACTATTTTTGTAGTAGTGACTATTAATTAAAACTATATCCCTAAACCAGTTTTACTTGTAATTACAAGATTATTTTTAAATTTTAGGAGTGTGAACAAAACACAAATTTTTAAAAAAAGGTTCAAGTGAACTGAGTTTAAAAAAAGAATGTTAAAAAAACACAACTTTTTTTTATCGACAAAAGAAAGGGAACTTTATTGATGAGAACAACATACAATACATATGGAATTATATCAATAAAAAAGAGGTGAGAGTAAGAGTGAAGAAAAAGCTGTCCTCTTGGAAGAGGAAATTACTATCTTATGCTGGGAGGTTGACTTTGATCAAGTCAGTCCTTGCTAATTTGCCAATCTATTTCCTTTCTCTCTTTAGAATGCCTAAGGGTGTTGTTAAATCCTTAGTCAAGTTGCAGTCATCTTTTCTGTGGGGAGGGAATGTTAATAAAAGGAAAGTGCACTTGGTCAAATGGAAGGAGATCACAAAAAGTAAAAGTCAAGGAGGTTTGGGTGTGAGAGATTTAGGAGAGGTGAATGAATGCTTGTTATTAAAGTGGTGGTGGAGATATGGTAATGAAGATACAGCTTTGTGGAAAGCTGTGGTTTGTTCAAGGTATAGTAGGAATCGTAGAGGTTGGGTTCCAGCTCTGAGCCTCTCAGACAGGATGTCCACAGTTTGGTTAGACATTGTGAAACTTCTCTCAGTAAAGCAGCAATTGGTGAGTTCTATGGTGATCATTTTAGAATTAAGGTTGGAAATGGATGGAGAATCATGTTCTGGCATGATACATGGCTCAACAATAGAGACCTGCAGGTTTAATTCCCCAGACTATATAGTTTATCCACTGAGAAATAGGAGATCTTTCAGCAAATCAGTGCTAAGAAGAGTAACCTGGGGTTGTGGCAGCTTAAATTTAGAAGACAGTTATTTGTATGGGAAGCTAAGGAGCTGCAGAGATTAATGGATCTATTGGAAACACACTGGTGAGTTCTGATTGTGTTGATTCTTGTTCTTGGCTAGCAAATAGCTCAGGTCTGTTTTCAGTTTCTTCTGTAAGAAGATGGTGGGATGCTATAATAGGGACTGGTCAGGTTGTGCCTAAAGGGGTATGGGTTGGTTTAGCTCCGCCAAAAGTGCAGTTCTTTTGCTGGTTGGCTTGGAGAGACAAAGTTAAGACTTCAACATTCCTTAAGAGGATTGGGGTGCTACCTGTATCAGCAAATAATATTTGTGTGTTTTGCCAAGCTGAGGTGGAATCCTTGAATCATGTGCTCTTGTTTTGTCCACTGGTTTGGAAGTGTTGGTCTCAAATGGTAAGATGGAGTGATCAGGTTTGGGCAATCCCTGGATCAGTTCAGGGCCTTTTACAGTGGTGGTCTACTGGTAAGAGTAAGCACTGGGTTTCTAGATTATGAGAGGTAGTCCCATTTGTTATGTTATGGTCTACATGGAGATTGCGAAATGAATGTATGTTCAAAGGGGCACAACCTATTTTTGATGATTTTTGTGATAAAATGAAGGTGCAGATTGCTCTGTGGGTAAAATGGAGTTTGGAGGTTGATTATTCAGTTGATGATATTGTTTTCAATTTCAATCAAATTAGGTTGTCTACTCAAGCCCTCTGTAATTCTACTCCAGGTCCTCTGCTTCAGGGTGTCTAATTCAGCTGCTTCAATGAGTGTTATTGGCTGCTTCAATGGTCTGGCCTATTACGTTGGTGGGTTTGTTTATCAATGGCATGGAAGCAGAGTTCTGTTTGGTGTTGCAGGTGTGTTCTTAGAGTTGTTTTGCTGAGTGTTGTTTCTGATGTTCCCAGATTTTGGGTGCTGTTGGGTTGGAGCTAGCTCAGAATTTGGTGTATGTTGCTACTCAGCGGTTATGCTGTTCTGCTCAGATTTTGGTGTGAGCTTACTCAGTTTTTGGTGCTGTTTTGATGATCAAATTTGCTCAACTGCTCATTTGCAGATTTGCTCATTTACTCAGTTGTTCTATTGTTTGTTATCTTTGTGTACTTATCTTTGTTTTGCGTTGTTTGTTGGTTTCTCACCAACTCGGAGGTTGGAGCTTTTCCTAGCTCCAAGATCCTCTTTATTAATGTAATTTGATTGTTTTTATTAATAAAATTTTCTTTGCCGATCAAAAAAAAAAAAAAAAAAAAAGGCGAGAGTGAAAAACATGTTGTTATCATTTAATTGGTCTCAAACTATGAGTTTAAAAAAATATATTGTTATTTAAAATTATAAATTTTCATTATTTTGAACAATCGCGCTACATAGCTCGAATTGGAAGCCCCCCGAATCACCTGTAATCTCAAAATGACGTCGTTTTGGGATTATTTTTTTATTATTATTATTTTTTTTCCTTTTTTCCTTCCTGTTTGTCTGAAGAAGAAGAGGAGGAGGAAAAAGAAGAAGAAGAAGAAGAAGAAGAATCAACAACATCTTCTTCATCACATCATCATTAGCCAACATTTTTTTTTCCCCCTTTAGATCTGGATTCAGATCTGAATCTACTAGAAGAAAAAAAAAAAAAAAATCAACAACAACAACATCTTCATCACCATCACCATCACCATCATTTTTTTCACTCAGAAAAAAAAAAAAAAAAAAAAAGAGAGAGAGAGAGAGAAAACAAAAATCGCAAGGGTGAGCGTCCACTGTCGCACCCTCCATCACCGTCGCTCTCACCCTCCATCACCGTCGCCCTGCCTTGCCATCGCCGTCTCTCTCTCTGTTTCCCTCTCTCCTCTCCTCCTCTCTCTTTCTCCCCCTCTCCTCTGTTTCTCCCTCTCACTCCCTCTGTTTCAGACACAAGGAGGAAAAAAAAAAAAGAAAAGAAAAGAAACTATCCAAAACGATATCGTTTTGAGCAATCGGAGAATTCAAGAAAAAAACTTTCGAGCTACAAAAATATTTTCGTATTTTGAATCAATTAAAACTTGTTGAGCGAGCCGCCT